CACTGCTGGGGAGAGACAGGCCCCTTCTGACCTCACCTTTTTCTTAGAGTCAGGAGAAATAAAATTGACACCCCACATCTCCCTCAGCCTTTGCTTTCCACCCATGCACTTCCTATTGCAAGAGCAGCCCAGCCTGGCCTTGGCTGCTTTTCCTCTTGCAGTGACAAAACTCAGTTTTGCTGAAGTTGCTGACAAGCTTTGAGGTTGGCTTTGGATAAACAGCTTCTGCCTTGCATTTTGCAGACCTCAAGCATTAATGAGTAGGCAATGACATCGTGGAAATTAGACTAAGTTTAGTGTTGAGTTAGGGGTTTGTTTTGATCCCCCTTGCTCTAAGTAGACTGACTGGGTAAAGGATTGCAGCAGAAATCTCTTTAAACCAGAGCTGAGACTTTTGAGTGGAGCCAGGATATTTTGGATATTTGATAGGGATTTTCTTTCATTCACTAGAACACGATATTTTTAAATACATTTTGATCATTTTGAAACAAGTGCTAGAGTTTTTCAACGTGAAAAGACATTTCCTTTTGAATTTTCTTTGACTATGACTAAAACCAATTGTGTTCAATTAATTCGGGAAACACAACTACTTGAAGACAAAATAAAATGTTTTGCTTTACCGTGATGGATTTTTTTTTGCTTTCAAACTTCACTTAAGGCTTAAAAAAGAAACACCTCTCCTACAAAAAACCAAAAACAAAACAACCAAAAAAACCCCAAAAGCCTTGCTCGTTTCAGACTGCCCAGCAATGATTTTTTGATTCTCATTTCTCTGCTCAGCCAGTAAATACAAAGTGATCAGTTTTTCACAAACCTTTCTGCACTCCTGATTTGTCTCAGAGAGATAAGGTACTATGAAGTTATGGCCTCTGAATGAAAGGCTAATCTTTTCTGCAGCCTCCAGTAAGGCACCAGACATGCTGGGTTAAACCTTGCTCGTTCCCAGCATTTGCCCATGTTGGCTGCATGCAGGGCTCAGAGCAATGAGCTCCCAGCCAAGATTCTTGGGGCTCCCATCCACCATGTGAGGAACCATGACTGGATCCACTCTGCTTTGATGTGAATTATTCAAATCTTTATATATGGTGGGAGCAACAAAGAAATCGGCTTTATTCTCTAAAGCCAGGTTTTACACAAATGGGAACAAAAAATATGAACTGTTTTACATAGAGAAACTAGAATCTCAAAGTGAGATGAAGTGAGATGAGAGTACAAAAAAATAAAAATGAGATTTTCATGCCAGTGTGGTGTGCAAAGCTTCTGCTAGACATTGACATTTTCCTTTTTGTTTTGCTGTTTTGAAACTGGGTTACTTGAATCATCAGACAATACCAGGTAATCTGCATCCTTGGACATCCAATATAAAGTAGTGAGAAGCTTTCAGGACAAAAACAAGTACAGTACTAAGATGTCTGGAATGTTCAGAGGGGCTGGAACTCCAGAGATCTACTTGTTTAGGGGTTTTTTTTTGGTTTCTATTTTTTGTTGTTTCTTTATTTTTTTTGTTTTGTATGAAAGATTCGCATGCAAGTGGCTTTCGAGCACCTTAGTATTCGTAACACATGTTCAGACACAGACATTGGGTCATTTTCTCTATAGTGCTATTGAAATGAATGAAAACTCTGGGACAGTAAGATCCTCATCTGCTATAAATTAGCTTCAGTGATGCCAATTTAGATTTTAGGAGTGGAATTCATCTGATGAAATGCCTTTATTTTCAGTGCACACCTTGTGATCTGAGCAAGCTGTGCTAACATTTGTTTGGAGAGATTCATCGCAGCCTAAACTAGCAGTCTGAGATGAGCCTGGGGAGTTGTGCTCCCTTCACTAAGTACAAAGGAGAAGAGGCTGACAATCTCATGTGTAGCTATTTGTACTATAGACAATGAATGTTAGGTGAAGTGGATTTGACCCTGATTTTTGTTTTATTTAAAAATGGAGAAGAAATTTTCACTAGTTTAGGCATTTTTAGGAGTTCCATAAAGATAATGTAGATGCAGCGATGTCAACATTATATTCAGAAATTCCGACCCTTTACATTACTGTGAACAGCCTCTTAAGACACAAAAGAGCACATAAAATTCAAATGAGTGTAGGTGCCCAGCTTGAGATGCTTTAAGGGGTCTTGATTTAGAAAGCAAGACTCCCAACCCATCAAAGCTTGACCTCTGTGGGAATCAAGCCCAAAACCTGAGGCAGTCCAGAGCTTGTGGAGAGAAAGAAGTTGAGTGCAGGGCTCTGCATGTAATGTGGGCTGAGCAATGGCTATTTTAGGGAAATTCACAGGGATTTTTGTACTATACAGATCCAGGATGCAAAGACTTAAATAGCTGCCTGAGTAGCCAGTCATGGAAGTGTAGACAACAAGAGATCTTTGCTGGGGGACATGCAGACATTGAATAAAAAAAAAATGCATCTGCCTGTGTAGGAATTTTAAGAACCTGCATCACTAAGTTTTGCATTCAAAATAACAGCTACTTCCTTTGCCAGTTCAGCCTTAAGGACTTCCACCTTTCCAGAAATGTGTAAAAGTGTCTGCAAGTGCGAGAGAAGTGGGCTCTAGAGAACTTGTACATCCAACAGTAAGCATCTGTAGTGCCTGCCTTTCAAGCCTCAGTGGTGTTGCCTTTGAAGTCAATGAGAATTTTGTTATTGACCTCAGCCGGAATGAGATCAACGGGAACAAGCCCTTAGGTAAATATGCCCAGACACATTAATCAAAGGTGCATGTGTTTGCTTTGGACCTGGCAGGAGGGAGGATTTCAGACTTTTTCAATAGGGTGAGGATGGCTTTAAGAGCACAAATATAAAAGCCAAACTTTAAAAGTATTTTGCAGTTGTTTAAGCGGCGGTATGTGCATCTTGAATTGTTTGGTTTGAATGTAAAGGTCACTCCAGAGATGTGTGTAAATGTCTCTTGGATGGCTCTTTTTTGTCTTTTTTTAGTCTCTGCTTCTGCGGTGCTCCAATTACCTTTCATGGCACTGTCGATGCAGACCAGCTGAACCAGCTTGGTTTGGCTGGAATTATAAAACGGGCTTAGTTAATTTTCTGACAGATTTTCTTCCATGTCTTTGCCAGTATAGCCTAAAATCTCTTTGGTTTTGATCCACTAGCAATCTATTGTGTGTGTGACAGCATTTAGCCATGACAAGTAAGTGACCAAGGAATCAAAATTTTTTTGGTCAATGTCTCGTTGAGGTGCAAGTAGACATCTTCACTTTTGAAAATTATCCTACATTTTAACACAAAAAGAGCACTTGAGATGCTTTAATAATGTGCATTTTTTTAAGGACAGTGAATTTATACTTGACCTTAACAGCGCATTCACGTACACACATATTATGTGATATGGGTTTTGTAGCACAGGCATGCACCCTCGCACAAATACGTGTGTACACATACTAGGACTGCAGACTTTTTATCCTTTTTACCTATCCTAATATTGAGAGAATTCAAATGACCTTGAGGGAGGAAGAAACAAAAGTGAAACCATGCTGAAAAACTTTTATCTTTTTATTATCGATGCCTTTACATTAATACTGCTTTGTGCTGAGAAAACCGATCTGTTACACGTAAGGTAACTGTAATATACTACATAGAAATGCAGTCTAAGTTAATTACACAAGGAGCTACAAAAAATTTCGTAGGAAAGAAGTCACCTAACATTGCAACTGTGCTTGCAGCAAATCACTTCCTTACTGCAGGACTATGCACATTGTGAACCATGGTTATTTACATGTCCCTTACAACCGTTAACAACAGAAGTGCTAAAATCAGTCTAAAAAGTTCCAGAACATCACTATATACTGTACAATCCTCAAAAATAATTTATTACACTGTTTCTAAAAAAAGGTACTAGTTTTGTTTTGATTTCTTTTGTTTTCTGGTGTTTTCCGGACTGCACAACATGTGCAAAATTTCACCTAACAGTCTAAAAACTCAAAAACGGAACTGCAAGTCACAATCACAGAGATGAGGTGGTGGAGTCCAAAACTTCCCTTCCATTGCAGACAGTTGGTACGTACATACTAGCAGATGCTGAAAGAGAAAGAGAGGAGAAAATCAACTGACTTCAGGGCGGCAAAAAACCACGGGATTAGACTATGTGTTGATCTGGACTATCTCACCCAATTTAAGGATGCCCCGTGACAAGTCACTGTGTGTGACTGTGTCAGCAGCAGATCTGATGGAGGTACTGCTTGGCCCTCTATAAGGCAATTCAGATCTGAGGATGAAGCATCCTCTGAAGGAATTTGATTTCTCTTTGCTGTTCATGGAAAGCACTTAAGGTGACTAAGCTTCCCAAGAAATGCCTGAATAAAATACATTAAATTTTTTTCCTGATAATTCTGCACCACTGGATCCCATTTTATAGTGCTTTGAATAGTAACATGAGTTAATATGGCTAGAGTGGTGCTAATATAACCCCATAGAATAAGAAGTGGACCTTTAAATCTTATCATATGAGCTTTTGCATAATTGGAGTGGACATTCCTGAAGTAAAATATATGTATTTTTAAATCCAGGAGAGAATTCACGTCTGCACACTAGGACTGTGTTTTGATCTTTAACTACAAAAAAAAAAGAAAAAAAGAATTCAAGATACGTACTGAATTGAGCGAAGAAATTTTTGAATATTTCAATTTGAAAGCAAGAATATTTCTCGCCTGATTACAGAATATATTCTGGCCTTACAAACCTTCGCTTCTAGGAGCTCTGGATCAGGATTCAACACACATCCAGTGGTCAGGGCCAGGTTCTGATAGCCTAGTACTTCATACCACAGGTTTTCATCGCTCCAGTGATATGACAATTGAATCTGAGTCCGAATGTGTTTCTAAATGTATTTGTATTTTGACTGCAGGATGTATTACTATTTTGCTGAAGACTTGTTTATTTTAACTTAAAAACAACCTTATTTGTCCATCTTTGTTAAAATTATCCATTTGGCATTAGGAATGTGTTTTCAGATACTCTGTGATATCTCTGCTTACGGCACCATAAAGCTGCTTTTTGAAAGATACATTAGGTTAACGATAACAGTGACCCAGGGAAATGTGATGCCTTCATCAAAGAAAACACACGGCAAGCAATGACTTAGTAAACTCAATCATCCAGTGTAAAAAGCAATTTATGCAGCTGACAAGGGCATGCTCAATCTTCCAAAACTGATGCTGGCTACACTCTCAGCTGCAGATTGGTTCTTTAAAGATGTTCAGCATCATTTTTAGAACAAATAATTCTTTCTTCAAATCAGCTAATACTTCTAATTCTTTCATTTACTATGGAAATAGAAATGGAAAATAGAACTACTTTAACAGGAGAAATTGAGAGGCACCTGCTGGAGTAACATACTACTCAGAAGGCAGGACGTATTCCTGATAAATAGGGGAGCTCAGAATGAACCTCTGCTCTGAATTAGGTAGATGGAGTTTGATCTCTCATAACCTGGATATGTCTTGTAAGTTACATATCTAAAACCTGCTGTTTTTAGGTAATAAGACATACGGCATCATGCCTTTGATTTTGTTAAAATGGACTATCAGGTTTTGCATTCAAGTTTTAACTGCATGTAGTAACTCTAGCACATTGAGCCGACATTTTTATTGTTGTTTTTATTTCTACTTATAGTTGGCAAATAGAAAACCAGTACTGCGGAGCAGACCTGATTCCAACCGCTGTTCTACTGCAGTATGACTGCAGGCAAAATCATTTTGTTTCTCTGAACATCAGTCACCCACTCAGAACTTTTCACCTTCAGGGTTTTTTTGAAGTCCAACATTTTAAAGAACATGAATAGCTCAAATACTATAGTAACTGAGTCAGGAGAATGTCAGAGAAGTATGGTGGTAGGCGAGAAATGAGCAGCCTTGCCTTCTGAGTTCCCAGGGTTTCTCCATGGTGTGTACCTCTCTTGCAGTGTTGGGAGGCAGTTATTAATTTTGCTGCGTGGAGTAAAGTGTTCACAATGAATATCCAGCTCTCTCTGAGACTGAACAGAAGATCTTGCTTTTC